AGGGCCACATTTGGCTCCAGAGCCACAGGTTGCAGACCCCTGCTCTAGAAGGAAGGGTGGTTGGTGATGTGTGTTCCTTTATGGAATATTAGGCCTTTAGTTTTAAAGTGTAATAACTCTATAAGATAAAATCAAAAAACAGAATTAGCACAGTTGGCTAAGATAATTATAAAAATGACCTTTTAAACATTTAGTTTCCTATTTTACACGTTTCATCGTGAGATTGTTTTTTTTACCAAAAAAGCTGTAGAAACAAAAATAATAATTAAATGTTTCAATTTGGCTTCATCAACAACCATCATGGTTTCTTTAACAAAACTTTTTCCAAGTTTCCTTCTTAAACCATCCACATTATTTTTGGATTTTCCATTTGTTCAGCTTAAATCTACTTTTTATAATCATTTGTATAAAATAATTATTTTGATCCAAGTAGCAGCAGATTTTAAGCCAAGTAAATACCTGTGAATTAAATTAATATGCCCTTTTTTTAATTATTTGGCTGTTCAAACGATGACAGTTTGAAGATTGACTCCCGGTGTGAATTAATAAGACTCGGCTGTATTTGACTCTGTGACATAAGTGATACTTCCTGAAGATGCAATTTGCTTCAATGTTGATGTGAAGAAAATGTTTTCAGGAAGTGACAATATTCAGACAGTTCTAGCTCATTATAAAGACACAGTAGAGAGGAGTGTCAATCCCTTTATGTGAGATTTGAATTTTTAAATCTAGCTTTGGTGGCCATATTGAGTGAAAGTATACCAAATTTCAGCTTAATATCTGTAAAAATGGCTGATTTGTAGTATTTTTCCTTTTTAGCCCAGGTGGACATCTTGGATTTTTGATTTTACAATCGAAGTATTTTAGGGATTGTTCTCAGCTACTAATACACTAAATTTCAGCTGAGTAGCTCTAAAAACCTCTGAATTATATCCACAAGAAATTAGCTTTGGTAGCCTTCTTGAATTTTTAGATGTGAATCCAGAATGTGTCTCTGAAGGTGTCTCATCGCTGTCAGATACCACCACATCAAATTTCAACTCAATATCTTTAAAAATGGCATTTATTGTATTTTTCCCTTTTAGCTAAGGTGGATTTTTAATTTGCGTTAGGAATGTGTAACAGCTCGCTCTCAGACATGACCTTACCAAATTTCAGCTCAACATCTCAAAGAATGGCTGCATTTTAGTCAATTTTGAGTTTTCTGAGGTAGCTGTGGCAGCCATCTTGAACCAAGATGGCTCCAAAAGTTAATAATCAGTGTTTTGTTCAGAGACCGCTACAGTCTAGGTCATGTGACCTCACTATGGTAGTTAGAGGCTGTGAAGAGTTCGTTCAGTGTTTTTCAATGAGGAAAATGGCGTCTTTGTTTAAAAATTACGTCGCCGTGGTAACTCAAAATGCCGTTAAAAGTAACGGCACACATCACGGTGCCGAGCCGGTCGTTCTGATGTAACATTTATGGGGGTACACCTTGCGGTTCGAGACACATTAAAGTTGATAGAACAGCAAGACTCTTTTCAGGTGGATAATAATAGGGGGCTGCCGTTCTAGGCAGTCCCCAATAAAAGTTTCTCTCTGGTGCCACCTACAGGCCAGATGTTTCATGTTCAACCGGTGTGTCCTTAAAGCAAAGGCAGGTTGAGTTCATCTTGATTCTGGTTGTAAATTCTCACCTTATTATTAAATGAAGCGACATGAAACACACAAAGACTTGTGTGTGTGTGTGTTAACTTTAAAGTCTTCCCATTCCCGTCCTCCTGGAATTAATTTAACCCATGATAGTTTGATGCAGACAGTCAACAATCCCCCGCACCTGCCCTTTTTTTTTTTTTTTTTAAACCACCCCGGCCACCCAACACACACACACACAATCCCACCACCTCCCCCAAAGCCAAAGTCCACATTAACATCGTAATAGGAAAGTGTGTTAAAGCACAACTCTTTGCCGCCTGACAAGAAGTGAATTGGATGTCAGAAGGATTCCTGCTCAGTTTAATTGAATCTGCCCAGCACTAAAAAAGAAAATCTGAAGTCAAAATAACCAATTAGATCTCTCAGGTAATGTTTTGTTGAGTTTGACAGGTAGAACAGAACGACCCCTTCCCGCTCCTCCCCACGGTCCTGCAGCTCGAGTGCGTGGGTGGGTGGAAGCCGATGATGTTTCTCTCTGTTTCTGTTATTTGTTAATCAGTGTTTGCCTCTTCTCTTTTTCCACCCCCAGGAGCAGTAAAATACTCCTCTGTTACCGAAGCTAATGGATGTAGAGGCTGTTTGTTGTCCCGATTTAAAAAAAACAAAATAAAAATTAACATCAAGTCTTCTTTTTGGGGATAAATTGGAAGTAAATATATATTTTCTTTTCTTTCGGCTGCTCTCTTCTTCAGGGGTCGCTACAGCGAAGTAACTGACACAAAGACCACCGAGCTACCACGGCCCTCTGTGTGGAGCAGAGAGCTGCCGTCTAGGGTGCCTGGGGGAGCAGATAGTGGGGGTTAAGGGCCTTGCTCAAGGGCCCAGAGTGGGACAAATGAGGGTGGAGGCAGGTGTGGGTATCTCACCTTTCCCACCCACATTTTAATGGTGTCGGTTTTGGAAATTGAACAGGCAACCTTCCGATCACAGGCCCACTTTTTCTAACCTCTGCGCCACCACTTCCCCCACAAAGTACACAAATAGGATAAAAGCATGAAAATCTTTCTATGGTCTGTATTTTCTATAAGATGCAGAAGAAACTCAGGATTTCTAAGAACATCTTGGCTAACGCCAAATATGAAAATTGTCGTCTCTGTGTCACTTTGACACAAAACAGGTTGTTGGTGCAAGCGTCCCTTAAAAGAACCAACCAGCTCCGTGAATGAACATATACCGTATTTTTTGGACTATAAGGCGCATTATCAATGAACGGGTCTGTTTTCATACGTAAGGTGCACCGGGTTATAAGGCTCGCTGTCAATATTTGAGAAAATTAAAGGATTTTAAGTGCGCCTTATAGTCCAAAATATACAGTACAGTAGTTAGTGTTGTCATGGATCCCTTACCCCGATCACAACTTATTAAATCCAAGATTTTCAACAGACTTGGCATTAGCTAAGTCAAACTTTGAACTCCGGTGTTTAAGGTTTCACTCCATTAATAATCAGTTATATGAATTTTTTGAGTGGTTAGAGCAGTCGTCCTACAATGCAAGAGTTGGGGGTTCGATTCCACCAGCAGTCACATGCTGAAGTGTCCCTGGGCAAGACACTGAACCCCTCATTGTCTCTGATGTGTGTCCCATCAGTGTATGAATGTGATGAAGCTCTGATTAGTCTCTGTATAGATCTAGTAGAGTGCTGTGTGAATGGGTAAATGAGGGCACAGATTGTGTTGTGAAGTACTTTGAGAATCTTGATAAGATAGAAAGGAGCTACATAAGTATAATCCATTTACCATTAATAATCAGTTATGTGATTTTTTTTATTATTATTCCATTATCGCAGCAGCTGCTCGGGCTTCAGCCCCACGTTTTGGCGGGAAAAAGAAAACCTCAATTCACACAAAGCAGAAGCTTTAAAAAAACGATCTTAAAACAAAAACCCAGTTTGGTTGGTAGTTGTCTAAAATGAGTTTTGAGTTCATGCTGAAAAACATTTACTGTCTGAATTATTTATTTTCTCTTTCAGGAAGTTTCCTGCCAGCGTTGTCATTTTAGCGCAGTTAGCCACCGCAGGAGGTTACGAAATTAGAAAAACATCAATCCTACGAGTTCTTGCTTCATTTTTTTTTAAATGTTTGTGCTGTTTATGGATTTTTGGAAAAAATAAGGCAGATATTGAATTTAAAGAAAGTTTCCCGCAGTTTATTGTTCATTTTTCAGAGTTGTTTTATTTTGGTGATAAACGGCCACAATCATAAAACTTCCTCTGGCAATGAGTGACCTGATGCCAGTGTGTTTTAAAGTTTAGTTACTGAAAAAGCCAAATAAAAACTTTTTAAATTTTTATTTATTTATTATTATTTAGAGTCTCATGCCATATACAACACAAAACTGGTCTGATGTTTTTCTGAGGGCATAACAGATTTTAATGTTTTATTAAAACAAACAACCCCCTTTTCATGAAAATCTTCAGTGGTATCTGATGACATGATTATTTTTATTTTATATTGATTTGAGCTCTTTAGCATAGCATTTGTCACACAAAGCTTTTAATTAAAAAAATCAGTAAACTTTAAGTTCTCAGCTTCTTCTTGCAGAGAAAAACAACTTTTTACACGAAGGCACGGGTTTCAACCGTGAATTTTGGAGCTCGAGAAGACGGAGGTTAATTCCCGAGGTCGGCCTGTTAGCTTAGCTCATAGCTTAGCTTCTCAGCTTAGCTGTGATCCAAAAACACGACTTTGGACGGTTAAAACAGATTTTAAAGAGAAAGGGAGGCGTCCGTGAAGAGCACCTTGTCATCCAGTGTCTTCAGTAGAAAGAGGGAGAGATACGTAAAAACGATAAAGCTGGTAAATGACAATGAGGTCGATAATTTTCATTCATCATGAGATTAATTGATTTATTGTTTATGGCGACAGGCCTAGTCGCAGCTAAAAGTAGCAAAAATGTGGGGTTATCAAGTCAACTTGAACTTCTTCACGTTATTTTTTCTAAAGATGAAAAATAATCTCTGTACAGCTTTGCATGCAAGTGTCTTTTTTTTTTTTCCCCTCAAAAATTTAGGAAGAGAAAGTAAAGACATCTAAAGTTTATTTTCAGTTTGAGTCTGACTTTACCGAGGTCTGTGATGGGCTCCAGGCAGCAGGGAGACTGAGACGTTCGTGTCTCCGTGTTGTTAAAGCAGCGGATTTTAGGCGCTGCAAGCCTCCTGCATTAGGTGTAATCTACATCTCTATCACATGCCGCTGTCAGACATCCCCATAGGGGTTTGGTGGCTGATTGCTATTCCCACTATGTGACAGGCAGTTTTAACAGTTCTCTTCCCCACATTGATTTTCTTTTTCTTCTTTGCTTACAGATTCACGAGCTGGAGAAGGAGCGCCCAGAACGGTGGACCATGCGGTCATCGGAGGCGTGGTGGCCGTGGTCGTCTTCGCCATGCTCTGCCTGCTCATCGTCCTGGGACGCTACTTTGCAAGACACAAAGGTAGAAGACGAGGAAATAAAACTTTAATTCAAGGTCTACAGTTTGTTCCCTGGTTATATCGTTTTAATAATATAATGTACGTTGGTTATAATGTGCAAAAAGTTTTAAACTACTACTAATCAACAGGCTTTGAGGATCTTTCAAAGTTTTTGTTTGGGCTTTGCTGTTTTGGCTGGATACATGCACTTCTGTGTATTAAAGTGGAATGTAGAGAGAGGACAAAAAGAGAAGTGCTACAGCAGTTGCTTTCTAAAAAAAAAAGGCTTTAAAGTCTTTTTCAAGAAAACAAAAGTTCGGCAAAATGGCCGCACAGACCAGTCCGCCTTTAGGCTTCCATTGAAAAATCTGAGATAAAACGCCCACATCCTGCACGTAAATGACTTTTCAGAAATGAAGCGGGCAGAGTAGTAAAAGAGGCGTGGAACAGAACTCAGCTGGGTTGAAGTGGAGCACAATCCACTAAACGTGTCCAACGTCTCCCTCGTGTCAGTTGTGGTGAATTCTCTCATTTCAACGTTCATTTTGTGGTTAACTATTTGTTTTAATCTACGAAGTTGCAGTGTGTCATCATCGATATTCCCTTGTAGAGCTGAGATTTCTAACCCGAGCCAAAATAATGTGTTTGATGGGTGGGCCGGGTCAGTCTCAGACTTCTGATATGGTTTTATGAATTATATGTTTTAATCTAATTGTAGAGGAGGAGGCAAGTCTGACCAGCCAGTTGAAAGAGGTAAAAAAAAAAAAAGTCCAGTTAAGCTTCAGATGGATCAGCTGATCACCGGTCGTGCGCGTCTCCACACCTGCTGTCATCTGCGGTGAAGGAAGTAGCAGCATCTACAAAAGCCGAAGCGAACAGTGCGTTCAATTCAAATAGCTTTGCTCTATATTTTTCAAAATAATTTTGCTCTGAATATATTTTTGTTCATCTGTATAATAGCCTATCTTCACAGTTGATTTTTTAGTCTATTTGTTTTGTATGTTAATATCCATTTGGTGACTTGTTAATAAACAAGAACTCCTATATCTTCCTTTATTTGAAATACATTTCGAAAATATCACGTCAAAGTGATTTGCTTACAAAAGCAGTAAAAGCCTAATTAAAGATTTTTTTTTTCTAATTCGGGCCTGTAATTACAGTTAAACGATCGAGTCGGGTTTGGAAAACATTGCTACGGGCTGGGGCCGCGTCTGATTTTTTTAGGCCCAAATGCAACTCTATTCCCTCGGATATAAATCTGTCTGTTGTTTAATCCTGCCAGCGAGTCGTTGTGCGCCACTGCACCATGGCTTCTGTTTTTACATGTCGGCCATTTACTACCTCGCTCGGCGCCACAGAGGTGGGCTGGCATCAACTTTCCTCGCCGCCTCGGCCCCTTCAGGTCACATCGAGGCGGCCAGAACACACCTCAGTCCTGGACTGAAGCATCTTGTGAAAGAGCCTTAAGAAACAGGGAATAAAAATCCAGTTAGCATGAAAGTTGTGTAGAATGGCCTAGTTCACTACAGTTGTATCATCCTTCACATTTTAAATAATAGTTTATTGGAAATCCCCTTGTTGGAGATAAAATTATATTTTTTGTCTGTCAAACTGTTATCTTTGGTGTTATTATAAATTAAAGTAAACAAATCGAGCTAATGGATTTTGTGAAAAGCTGTTGGTAACAAAGTGCTTTAAGAGGGTTTAATTACAAAGTTTTCTGTTTTGGAAAAACATTGGTTCACTTCTTGTTTCAGACTTTTTTCATACCCGAATGATTCCTAAATGACCAACACTCCTGTGAAAATGATCAAGAACGTGACTAAAAATTATTTTTGGAAGTTTTTGAAAACTCATTGAAGAAATGCGTGTCCACCGCTGCCTTCAGTGCAGCATCTTATGTTGAAAAAAATTACAGATATGTAAGTTTTGATCAAACAAACCTTGAAAAAATAATAAGCATGTACATCAGGCAATCTGAAGATGTCAGAAAATCACAGTATGTGATGTGAATGATTCTCAGCTACTAACACAACAGTTTTAGCTCTCTGTAAAATTAGCTGAGTTACAGCTATTTTCTGTTTAAATCAGTTGGCTGCAACATCCATCTTGAATTATCCAGTTGTGTTTGAGCATCCTGCAATTGCATTTTGCAATTTTATTTGTAGTTTATCCAGTGGTATGATATTTTGCTAACAGAGACGTGCAAAAACACAAAGTACTTTGAGCATGCATCAGGACAAAGTACTTTACTTTGCACAGTACGTTATATGATTTTGAAATACTGTATAATCTCTTTTTAAGGCTGCAGAAGGTCACCGCTGTCCTCTAAAGCGATATCTTCAGCAGCCTTATGTGCTGCTGCACTTTGTTTCTGTAAGAACTTATTTTTACATCATTAGATAAATGTGAGCCAAACGATGAAAAGACAGCTATTAAGGCTCCGGGTTACCAATGATGAGTAAAATTACATTCTTCTAGCAGTGCTGATGAATCGTATGAGTCTTGTGTGCTGCCCTCATCACAGCAGAATAATTACAATCTATAAAGAATTTCACACTTTCATGTTTCTCAAGCGTGAGGAAATAGAATTACGTACATTGCAGCACTTTAGGAAAAGAAACTGATAAATGAGGCAAAATAAAGGTTCAAAAAATGGTTTTACTTATTTCAGGGTTGTGTTAAGTTAGTTTCCCCTCTAATTTCTGTCCAAGCACTTCATGTAAGCTGTAGCTTTGCACAAAACATTTGTAACTTCTGAGTTTAAATGAAGAAAATATGAAACACGGCTGACATTATACCATATTAACCAAATATTTAGCTAATCTTGATCTTTCCATCCATTTCCTGCTGTATATCTGTGGTCGGGTCACAGGGCCAACAGGCTCAGAAGTGAAACCCAGACAGCCCTCTCCCTACAACTCTATCCAGGATCCCAAGGGGTTCCCAGATATAAAGGAACCCTAATCCTTCTAGACATTTACCGGTGTCTCCTTTCAGTAGAAGATGCCTGGAACGTCTCCAGATACCGAAGCCCCTTGTATCTTGTTTTAGATTGGGTCACAGTGACCACAGGTTCAGAAGAGACACCCATCTTTTCCAGTGACATGTTCTACCTCATTCTTGGAGGATCCTACGGAGTTCTCAGGCTAGCAGGGGTATATAACAGCTAGTTCTGTCTCTTCTTTCTTCCTATTGAGGCGTGCCTCAATGTAGACTCCTTGGTGGAATTTCTAATCGGTTGGTTCAATCACATCAGCTGACTCGTTTTGATGCAGCAAAACAGTGTGGAACAATGGGTCTTGCAGCGGCTCCTTAGTAGTGAAGGTATAAAAGGTATAAAATGTCTGGAAAAGCCCTCCTGCTATGCAGGCTCTGCTCCATAATTCCAGCAGTGGGCCTCCCAGTGGTGTTCCATGGGTAACGCTAACCACTGAAGGGGCAAAAGCGAACCACTGGCGCTATAGACCAGTTCACCCTGGTAGACAGCGCTCGTGAGCCTTGGTTGGCAGGCTGCCTATGAGAAGGAAAGCTTTGATTTCAAACCAGGGCAGACGGAGCTCGTTATGCCTTTTTAGGCAAATGCGACTAGACCCACCGTCGACAACTGTGGTGATGTCAGGAAGGGCGTCCGGTGAGCAAAATCAGCCACATTTAAATTTCAAGGATTTACTATCTCTATTGCAAGGATGTGCTAGGACGTTCTCCGTAGGTGGTGCATGCTGCTGCCCGGGCGGTGTGAGAAGTGAGAGGATGATATGAAGACACTCCATTTCACAACTGACGATACAGGAAACAGAGAAAAATAGAAAAGGAGACTCCATGTGGCTGATCTTGTTCTGAAAGGAGCGGGACCTACAGCCTGAAGGAGAGAGTTTCCTACTGTGAGCTCCCCCCAGAGAGAGAGCACCTCACTCCATCTCTAAGGCTGAGTCCAGTCACCTTCCAGAGGGAGCGCGTTTCAGCCACTTCTATCCAAGATCTTCTTTTGGTCATGATTCATACAAGAAGACCATAGATGAGGGGTGGCATGTAGACGGACCAGTGATTCATGAGCTTTGTCTTTCAGCTCAGCTTCTCCTTCTTCACTACAGACTGAAGCAACACCCTCATTACTGCAGATGAGGTCCCAAACCAGACACCCCCCTCTTAACTGTACATTGGTCAAATGTTGTTCATGAACCACAGGGGCGTCCCTGGCAGAGTCCAATCTGCACAGCTTTACTTTGTGTCAAGGGTGCAAGCAAGGCTCCCACTTGGGCCACGCAGGGACCAGATACCCTGTAAGAAGTACCCTTCAAATAATTCCAGGGGGTGCATAGTCCAAAGCACGTAAAACACGTAGAATGGAGCAAAAAACTTGTGATCCCATTACCATTGTTGCACAGGTAAGTCTGGTCCACTGTTCCATGACCTGAACAGTCCTCCTGAATCTAAGGTTCAACACTCAGCTGGAGCCTTTTCCAGCACATGTAATATATGCATTTATTTCAAGTTTTCTGCTGAGTATTGAGCTTTCAGTCACCGACACCAACCAGTGGACCAAGTTAAAATGTCAGATTTATCATTTCGTCCCGCTCCAGGGAAACAAATGTAACATTTTTCCGCTTCCCACCTGGAGTAGCAACATGTACAGGGTCACCTGCAGGTTACGTTTTGTCACAGCACCACCGAGCACCTTGTTTCTGTCTACTCAGTCATTTTTCACATGTGGCCTTTCTCCCGCCTCACTCATGCTAGGATGTTGTCACCGTTTCCAAACTCCGCTGCGGTCCAACGTGAATAAATCTCGCAAATTAGGTTTGAAGTGGCCTTTTCTTTGGCTGAACTTGACAAGGTTAATTTGAACGCGAGCGCCACGTTCTTGTCTGCACTCGAGATCGTTTCAGAGCCATGATTTTCACGTGCCAATCTTACTGAGGGAAAACGTATAATCTGAATATTACAGCTTTCTTGTGTTGGGTGGTTGTAAACGGCCGCACGGTGGCGGATTTGCATAATTAGGTGCTGTGAATGGAGGGTCACATTTTAATCTTTGGCATCATCCAAGCAGCAGGCTATTACTCCGTCCCTGACATCGTCTTCCTCTTCCTCCTCAGGTACCTACTTCACGCATGAAGCCAAAGGAGCAGACGATGCAGCGGACGCAGACACAGCCATCATCAACGCAGAGGGAGGCCACACCAACTCCGATGAAAAGAAGGAGTACTACATCTAATCCAAACGGGACCCCCTCACTCCAGCGTCCTCGAGACGTGGAGCTGGTTTTACGGGGAATGTGGGGCAAGGGGTTTGACAGAGAGCTTTTAATTTGAAAGGATCGAGGGTTCGACAGGTCAAGGTGGGATTTTTAAAAGAAAGTCCTGGTTTTAAGACGTCGTTTAGTCTAGTCTGCAGATGTAGATGGAATGTTCTGTGTTTAACAAAAAAAAACTCAAAAAACAGGATTTAAAAATTTAAAGTTGGAGTTTTTCAGTAAAGCAAGTCGGGGCGGTGTCGGGGGTGAGGGGAGGGGTGCGCCAGGCGTTGCCAGAAATCATTGTAGAGAGCTTCACCATTCAACACCCCCCGCCTCCTAACTGCTGGTTCAAACTTTATTTACTTTCACCATTTGCAGAAAATTCTGTGCCTTGTTCTGAACGTTTCTTTTTGTTCTCTCCGTGTTGATCATTTGCATAACTTTGTTGCTCCCTCCGTTATTATTTTTATTTTTTTCACCGTTTCATCTCTCTCACTTGTTATCGGTGTGCTGTCGGCTTTTGTATGAGAGTCAAACCACACGCAGCCACTTTATTCATTTCTCTAAATGTGTCTGCGCTCGCCGATCCTCTCCTGCATAACGACAACTCTTTCCAGTAAACTGTGATTTGTCTCAAGCCATTTCGTCCCTCTCCTTTTCCCCCCTCAACGTTTGACCGCTCCAAAAATAAATAATAAAAATGTAAAAAATAAAAAACAGAAATGCATGGAATGCTTCATTGTACAAACAGCATAAACGAGACACAGGTTTGTTGTACTGGACCCGCGCCGATGCCCCCCAACCCTCCAAAGCTAACATGGACTGGTTTAATCAGACCAACGCAGATCTGTAAAAGTTTTAGCCGCCTCCGTTTCCTTCTCAGAGTCGACATATAGCTAGCTGTTCCTTAAAGGGATAGTTCAGACGTTTTGAAGTGAGGTTCTGAGGAAATGGTTATGAATAATTAATATCTTACCTGTTGTAGAAAGCTCTTTAAACAGCCGTTTGAACTGATGAGCTAACAGCTAGTCAGTGGAGCCATAACTAATGTCCTTAAAATAACGCCAGGTTGCACAACATGATACAGCCCAGTATAGCTGGTACCTGATATACAGTAGTCCCTCGCTACTTCGCGGTTCGTTTTTCGCGGACTCGCTCTATCGCGTTTTTTTTTTAATAAGATTGGACATGACGTGCAATTGGCTGATTGATGGATGAGCCGCACGATCGGCATAGAATTTTTATTTAAAATAAATTATTTTAAATTATTTAGCACCTGCTGCACCTGTGTGCAGCCCACACTGCAGGAGAAACTTCCTCCTGCATCTCCTCCTCCCTCCTCTGTGATCTCCATTCTGCAGCAGAGTGGGCGTGGCCAAGAGCCCAGAGTGCAGCCGTGGCAGAGAGCTGAGTTCATAATGTGCTTGTGCTCTTTTAGAGCATTTAGAGATTAGGAACATTGTTTAGAATAATGCAAGAGTGTGGTAAGGATTTAACACATCTTAATAAATAAATAAATATATATATACATATATATATATATATATATATATGTATATATATATATATATATATATGTATATATATATATATATATACACATACGTGTGTGTGTATAAATACTGAAATAAACTACTACTTACTACTTTGCAGTTTTTTCACTTATCGCGGGGCTTCAGGGTACTGATCCCTCGTGATAAACAAGGGACTACTGTATACCAGGTACATACCCTGTGAGCAGAAGGGACGAAGTTACTTTCATGATACCACCCAGTCACTGTAGGTACTAGCTGCATACCCGGTATGTATTCGGTAAATACCGTGAACATATCAAGCTATATTATGCATTACTACTCGAGTCCAAATTTTAAAAATTTATAGTAGTTCATGCAAACATTAGTTAGTAAATTTTACATTACTCTGTTTTACTTACACGTTTATTCCAACAACAACAAAAATTACAATATTCCTGCTGGAAGTTCCTAGGCTGCGCTGGACATTCTACAGCTAGCTGCTGCTGCCATTTGTACTCAAAAACTAGAAATTTTGACGGGGACTGACACATTGCGGCCATTTTTAAATTTTGATTTGACAGTACTAAGTGTTGGGCTTTGCTCTCAGCTACTATCGCACCAAATTTCAGTGCAATGTGGCAACAAAAAAAAAAAAAATCAATGTTATTGTCATTTTTTTCTTTTAAGCTATGGTGGCCATCTTGGATTTTTGATTTGGATTTAATACGTGATGGAAAACATTCTCAGCTAAAACCTCACCCAACTTCAGCTCTATGTGTAAATATGTCTGAGTTAAAACCATTTAAAAGTAACGTTGGTGGCCATCTTTGTACTTTTTATTTTAATTGCTGTCAGCTAGCACCATACCAAATGTTTGCTAAATATCTATAAAATAGCTGAGTCATCGTATTTTCCCTTTTAGCTAAGGCGACCATCTTGGATTTTTAATTTGCATTAGGAATGTATAACTCACTCTCAGCTACGACCATACCAAATTCCAGCTTAATATCTCGAACAATGACTGAGTTATAGTCAATTTTGAGTCTTCTGAGGTAGCTGTGGCAGCCATCTTGAACCAAAATGGCTCCCAAAGTTAATCGGTGTTTTGTTCAGAGACCACGTCACTCTAGGTCATGTGACCTCACTGTGGCCGTTAAGAGGCTGTGGAGTTGTTTTTTCAATTAGAAAAATGGCGTCTTTGTTTGCAAATTATGTTGCCATGGTAACCTGGAGACGCCAATAAAAGTAATGGCACACGTCACGGTGCTGAGCCGGTGAGGTTAGAGTTGTTTTTAAGACGACAGTAATCCACCTCTGATTTGAACCCCGCCCTGACTAGCCATTAGCTCATCGGTCTGATCAGACTATTTGTCCAAATTAAGGCTGTTCAATAAAACAAAATAATCGTTCGTAAGCTTTGAACAGAACCAAACTGAACTATCAGTTTAAACCATTAGTTTTCCTATATGGGAGATTTTTTTCCCATCAATATGCTGCCATTTATTATTTTAGTTTCACATTACTTCTTTTTGGCTGATATGAACACCTGTACCCGTTGGTTTTTATTGAGTTATAATGAGTTTTAACGTATTTGAATCTACTCTTAAACCTGAAAGATTTGTCTTACAAAGACGGGACAAGTTAGAAAATGTAAATTGCTTTGAAACTTTTTTTTTTTGGCTCATTCTTAGACAGAAGGCCTCAGTATTTAAAACTAAAAAATCCAGTCCTGTTATTATTGGTCAGAAGCTGCCGGTATAGTGTGGTATAGTGTGCATAACCTAAGGGAGTAGACAGACCGCCTTAATCGATTTTAAATTGAAACTTGTGCAAGTTTAAGTTACGTTTTAGCTCCACGAAACATCCAGGTCTCCATCAGTGGCTTCATCTAATCTCATAAACACTCAATGTCAACTCAAGCCAGTGGATTCACAGCTGTAATGTAAACTAATCCTTACCCTGAACAATTTTTTACAACTTACTAGAACTCCAGATGGAGTGCCGTTGTGGATTTTATCGTTTCACTTTCATTGTGAGTTTCGTCGACCTGTAAATCAGATACATGTTGGGGAAAAGAAACGTTTTGGAACAGAAATGCTGAGAGAAAGACCAGTCTTTCCATCTCCATCACATCAACTATAAACGGTTTTGCATTGTTGCAGCGGCTTTTGAATGCTTAAATAGTTCACATTTTGCATGTCTGTATGTGCTTGAGAATATTTTTTCCTGCATCTCTGTTTAGCTTCATGGAACAGCTGCCAAAACTGAACAGGGATCAGTTTTGTTGTGCCAGCTGGGGGGCGCTGACGATGCCAAAAGTCAGTCTTTGCTTGTAATTTAACTTAGTCCACATGTTGTGCGTCATGTCGTTTATCCATGGTTTGCATTAGTTCCCTAGCTGGTGGCATTGTCTGTAATTGTATGTTCACACAGCAAGCAACACACTTAACAAGTCCTTTATATTCGGGCCACGTGTGGCTTTATGGAGATGGAGGTGCGGGTGGTGGTGGGCAACTTCCAAGTTTGAAACACTGCCGGTGTGATTAATGTGCGGTTTTATTTCACATACCAGGCATTCTACCAACACCAATGATTTAAATGTTCAGCTAAAACAGCCGTCATTCATGACACAAGCGCATCAGTTAGTTTAGGGAAAAAACGAGCATTTACTTTTATTCAGCACCAACCTCGGTTCAAGGGTCCCAGTTCAGTACTGGTTCTATAGAACAAGACACACGTGCTAAATATTAGTTTTTTTGGTTGATGAGTCTTCTAAAACCAGACACGCAAAACCAACCACTCGTGTTAATGGAGGCTGTAATTCAGTGGTCATACAGCAAGATAGGATTTGTTAACTCATAACCTGCGCTATCAAGTCGGCGTTTTGTCTTATTCATACAAATTGAACTAAACCGAGGCCTACAGGCTGTGTCAGTTCAAAAGTTTGATCAACTTCGAAACTGAAAACTGTCCTTTTATTGGAAAAATATGAAAATGTCTGCACCCGCCGCTTCCAAACTCGTTCATGTGTACATCTGCACTGATATTCATCTTAAGCATCTGCATCATGATAGTTCGGTACGAACGGATGTACCATGACACCCCTTCTAAAAAGATCAAATAAATTCTAAAGAAGATTAAAAACGTTAATTTTTACCCCTCTGCTGTCAGTAGTGATTCCTCAACACTGATCAAACATACAGTCGAATTAGGGATGCACAATATTATCAGCATGGTATCGTATCTGCCAATATTAGCGATAAAGTTAAATATCGGAAATTGGCCATTCCATCAAAATAACTCACCAACATAAAAGGCGCTGTTTTTATATATATACTGTATATATATATATATATATATAATCATTTTCATCCCCCGTTTTGGTGTCTGCATTTGGTAGCAGGCCAAAGTGACAAAGACCGTGCAGAATAATGTAGTATTTTAATTTCACAGCAGAGAAATCTATGTAGTTTCTGTAAGTTGGTCTAGGGCACATATGTCAAACTCAAGACCCGTGGGCCAAATGTGGCCCTCAGTGACATCTTTTCTGGCCCCCAAGATGATATATTAAATGTAAAATACTTTTATCACTTGAAAGTTTTTCAGTAATCTTTGATTATGATTTCGAAAATGCAGCAGGAATCGTCAAATGAGACCAATCAAACTCTTGTTGAGGAATCTGCAACCAAGAAAAGATATTGGGTATCTAACTTGAGTTTATGT